ATCAGATCTCTCCCCTGTGGACTGTGACAAAAGAGCACAAACTAATTAAGAAAAATACAGTAACTCCTCACTTAACGTTGTAGTTATGTTCCTGAAAAATGCAACTTTAAGCAAAACGATGTTAAGCAAATCCAATTTCCCCATAAGAATTAATGTAAATGAGGGGGTTAGGTTCCAGGGAAATTTTTTTCACCAGACAAAAGACTATATTATATATATACACACACACACACACACACACACAGAGTATAAGTTTTAAACAAACAATTTAATACTGGTACACAGTGATGATGATTGTGAAGCTTGGTTGAGGTGGAGGAGTCAGAGGGTGGGATATTTCCCTTACTGCTAAATGATGAACTAGCAATTGGCTGAGCCCTCAAAGGTTAACTCTCTCACTTTACAAGGCAGCAGGAATGGAGGGAGACGTGCATTCCCCTTTAAGTACACTGCCTTGTTAATTAGATCATCTTGCCGCAGCTGCTGCAAGCTCCCTCCATCCTGAGCGCTGGTGTGTCCCCCCTGCTCTATGGAAGATGGGGTAAGCGGGGTGCAGGAGCAGGGGGACACCCTGACATTAGCCCCCCTCTTCCTTCCCTCCCCCCCGCACAGCAAGCAGGAGTCTCGGGGAGCAGCTCCAAGGCAGAGGGCAGGAGCAGCACATGGCAGTAGGGAGAGGGACACAGCTGAACTGCAGGCAGCTGCTGCTGCACAGGGAACTTAGGGGGAGCTGATATGGGGGCTGCCGGTCCACCCTGGTTCCAAGCCCCCACCAGCTAACTGCAAGGGGCTGCTCTTCCTGCAAGCAGTAGATAAAGCAGGCGGCTGCCAAACGACATTAAAAGGAAGCATTACAGAACTTTAAACGAGCATGGTCCCTAATTGATCAGCAATGTAACAACGAACCAACATTAACTGGGACAACTTTAAGTGAGGAGTTACTGTACATTGTTTATCTATATGTCTGATAATGCCATTCTTTACTAGTTTCAATCAAATTGCCTGGTACTGAAGTTAGGTTTACTTGTTTAATTGCCAGGATTGCCTCTGGACCCTTTTTTAAAAATAGGAGTTACATTAGCTATCCTCCAGTAATCTAGTACAGAGGCTGATTTAAGTGATAAGTTACATACCACACTTAGTGGTTCTGCAATTTCATATCTGAGTTCCTTCAAAACGCTTGGGTGAATACCATCTTATCCTGGTGACTTATTCATGTTTAATTTGTCAATTTATTCCAAAAACCTCCTCTATTGCTGCCTTACTCTGGGACAGCTCCTCAGATTTGTCACCTAAAAGGAATGATTTGGGTGTGGGGATCTCCTCCACATCCTCTGCAGTGAAGCCTGGTGCAAGAAATTAATTTAGCTTTCTCCACAATGGCCTTGTCTTCCTTGAGTGCTCCTTTAGCACCTTGATTGTCCAGTGGCCCCACTCACTGATTGGCAGGCTTCCAGCTTTTGATGTAGTTAAAAAAAAATTGTTGTTAATTTTTGTGGCGCGGGGGGGTTGTAATAAATTAACTATAGGTTTATTAACTAGGAAAAAAGGAAATAAGGGAGTTATTTACAAAGTTAAAACAGGAAGCATACACACACAAATGAGTTACAGTCTGAGATTTAAAAAGGTAATATAAGCTTCTATTATAAGCAGCTCTCTATGTCCCTTAGGGCTGACCCATGCCAAGCTGCATGAGGATCTCTTGCTTATGTTTAGGGATCTTTGCCCCTCAGAGTCCAGACAGCATAAAGGTAGCATCTGAAGAACTACTTTCCTGACCTGCCTTATCATACTTTTACAATTGACTTGCCAGTGTTTATGCTCCTTTTTGTTTTTCTCACTAAAATCTGACTTCTAATTTTTAAAGGATTCCTTTTTGCCTCTAACCGCCTCTTTTACTCCGTTGTTTAGCCATAGTGGCATATTTTGGTCTTCTTACTGTTTTTTTTTCCCCCTTTGGCGATATACATTTAGTTTGAACCTCTATTATGGTGTTTTTAAATAATCTCCATTGCGTATGCAGGCATTTCACTCTTGTAACTGTTCCTTTTAACTTTTGCTTAACTAGCTTCCACATTTTTATGGTGTCCCCTTTTTAAGTTAAATGCTACTGTGGTGAGTTTGGCATTCCCCTCCCCCCCTACAAAGATGTTAAATTTAATTACATTTTGGTTCCTGTTAATGAGGGGTTCAGTTATATTCACCTCTTGGACCAGATACGGTTCTTCACTTAGGACTAAATCAAGAATTGCCTCTCCCCTTGTGGATTCCAGGACAAGCTGCTCCAAGATGCAATCATTAACGGTGACAAGAAATTTTACCTCTGCATACTGTCCTGAGGTGACATGTACCCAGTCAATATGGAGATAGTTGAAATCCCCCATTATTATTGTGTTTTTTGCTTTTGCAGCCTCTCTAATTTCCCTGCGCATTTCACTGTCACCACCCTGGTCAGGTGGTCGATAGTATATTCTTACTGCTATACTCTTATTATTCAAGCATTATTCTATCCCTAGAGCTTCTATGGTATAGTTTGATTCATTTAAGATTTTTATTGTATTTGACTTTATGTTTTCTTTCACACAGAATGCCACTCCCCCTGCAGCACAACCTACTCTGTCATTCCTAAATATATTGTATCCTGGTGTTAGAGTGACCAGAGAGCAAGTGTGAAAAATGATGGGGGGGAGGGGTAATATAAAAGAAAAAGCCCCAAATATCGGGATTGTCCCTGTAAAATTGGGACATCTGGTCATCCTACCTGGTGTTACCATGTCGCATTGATTATCCTCATTCTACCAAGTTTCCGCAATGCCTGTATATAAATATCCTCATTTAATGCCAGACACTCTAGTTCACCCATGTTAGTATTTAAACTTCTAGCATTTGTATACAAGCACTTGTACATTTTGTCAATATTCAGTTGCTTGCCTTCATGTGTTATATGTAAACTTGCTGTCCCTCTAAGTCCAACACCATCAGCCCCCCTGTGATTTCTGTTCAGTAGTCATATCTCCCTACAGGCTTTTCTTCTGCTTCTCCAACCCTGAAAAAATCTAGGGACAAAACAAGATGTACAGAACACAGACTTGTTGATTGTCCTACAGAAAGCAAAGGATTTGCATGATTTAAGAGTTAACATTTGTAAAGCCAAATGCACATACTATATTCTACAGTTAATGGGATACTGTAAAGTGTGTTATATGGGATATGTTATACAGGACGTAAGACTAGATGATCACAATGGTCCCTCCTGGCCTTAAAATAAACAAACAAACCAAACAAAACCTCAATTTAGGTTTTGTTATAACAAGATTTACAAAACCTAACCATCAAGAAACATCAGTGAAGACAAAGTTTTTGGTTTAGATGTAAATGTTCCTCTACAGGATTTGTCATTGCAGAATTGGTGACCTCAAATGAAACTAAGTTGACTACTTTCACTGCCCCAGTTGAGTAAAATGCCAAAAAACAAGTCAGCATGAATGATGAAAAGTCAGTGAGATTGTAAAGCCTGCTTCCCATTCAAAGGTGTGAGGTGCCTAATGTCAATACACATAGGGACATTTGCTTTTTGTTTTACAAATGTGATTTTTCACTTGACAGTGTCCCTCTAACAGAAAAAGAGAATGAATGAGGAGAAAGGTGTGATCATTTGTTCTGTACTACAGTGAAACATGTTTTAAAACCACCACACCAGGCAATTGGGGTGCTTAAGGGGATTTTAAAAAGGAAGAGGGGACTTGTGAGAAAATGTCCCCAAACATATTGAGTATGTCTCCTCAACAAGGAAATTGCATAATTAGGGTTTCATTGTGTATGACTGGGGTCCCCCTTTCCTCCAGTTTGCTGTGTAATCTTGCGGGAGTGGAATAAAGCAGACTTTTCAGGGGAATAAGGTAGTGGCAGATGATAGCATCCTTTTTGCTGCTCCTGGGGATTGAATCACCCCCTGATGCCTACATTAGTTATCCCCCCCTCCTCCATTGTCATGGGTCACACTAGTAGGGATTCATTGTGATCGCCAGGGACATTCTTGCCACTTAGACTTACCTATTGTTGAAACCACAGTCCCCACAAAATAAAAGGCCCCGGTAAAATCCCATCGGGGTCTGATGTCATCGACCCGGATCCCGGCCACACTGGCCTCTTGGTACTCCCGGAGGAAGTCTTGCAGCTCTGCCCGGCTCAGGTTGTGCCTCTGGCTGAAGTTGACGAACCTCTCCTCCCACTTCTCCTTGGCTTCCCTCTCGGTGGGCAGCTCGATGGCCGAGAACACGGCGGCCCCGCACAGCATGTACAGGATGATGAGCGCGGCCAGCAGCAGGAAGCGGGCGTTATCCTCATTCAGGTGACCCAGGCTGGAGCAGCAGCAGCCGCGCCACGCCATCCTCCGCCCCGGGGGACCAGGCCGAGGGGGCTGCTGGAGCCCGGCACTACGTTTGCACCCGACTGCAGCTCCCCCAAACTCCGACAAGCGTAGCGGCGTCCTCGGTTATACTCCCGGGGCCAGGGCTGCCAGGGGCCGTGAGCAGCGCGATCCATGGCCACCCCGCATCTCTGCCGGCGGATCCGGCCGGCCTCTCCAGGGCACTTGGATGACAGAGGCGTGCAGCGCTTCGTGAATCTTTATCGCCACTTTCCCGCCCTTCAGACGGCTCTCGGAGCTGGGGCTCATCCTCGGGCGCTCCGGGCCATTTCTCAAGACGCCCACTTGGGTCTGCTGGCTCAGAAAGTGACTTTCCGTCCTCGGACAAACAATCTGGTCTCGGGGGCGCCCGACACAGCCTGGTCTGCTCTTCTCGTCAAGTTTCGGATCCTTTCCTTCCTCTGTCCCACACGCCTCCACTTAGCCAAGGGACCCCAACAACGCAACTTCAGCTTGCCACGAGGGATGAGAGGGACCGAACTCCATGCGAAGCTGCTGTCTCCGGAGCGCTCAGGTGCAAACGTGTGAACTCATCTCTCCATGCTCCCAAAGCGAGACCTTCTTCCTTTCCTTCACACAAGTCAGAGCCATACTGTCCCTGACCTTTCCCGGCATGTCTGCGCCTTCAGAGCGGCCGCGGGAACTTCCCGAGCTTGCAGCCACGCAGGAGTCCCCCCTCGACTTTAAAATGCAGTGGAGAGATCAGAGCAGCCCCCTCCATGGTCACCAAACAGTCCCCAGAGTCTCAATCCTTGCACAGTGCAGATCACAGTGTGAACAGTTGGGGAAAGAGCCAAGCAGAGCCTGTGGCCCTCAGGACGGAACTTGTGCAGAAGAAAGTGGAGTGGAACCTAGAATTATCAATTCGGTTCAGATCGAATACTGAAGCTGGAGACCCGGGGCATCTTCCTGCCCAGGGAAAGTCCCCATCGGCTTTCGCTCCCTGTCAACGCCGGGTTTGTAAACTTGGTCAGCTCAAATCAAACTCGACGCCCCGCGGGAGCGGTAAAGCTCAGACGGAGCCTGGCACCTGCTGGCTAACACCGCTCGGTAGTAACCGATGCGCTAACGCAGAGCGACGCCTCGCACGGACCACGCGGAGTCAAGGTAGAGCTCACCAGTCCGAGGGGTTAACACCCCGAGTCAGAGCTGATCCTGGGGCCGTGCCCCTCGGGCACTCCACCTGCTGGGGGGCTAATCCTTCTCCCGTGTTAGAGGGTCAGCCCTACAGTGGGGGGTGCCAGAGCGGGGCTGTGCTGACAGTCCTTCAGCCCCGCTCGCTCTCTGGAGGGTAGTTCGAGTCACCCCGGGACCAGCCTGCTGCTGTGTCAGACGCAGAAGGCAGAGGATGAGGCTCAGACGGTCCCTCGGTCTCCCTTGCCGGCTGGCGGCCGCTCTTTTCTCCTCGGGGAGTCACAGCCCCTTCCCCCTGTCCCGGGAGCCAGGGCAGGCAGCACCCCTTTGCGCGCGGCGCCCTCCCGGGCAGTAGCCGGGTCAGCATCTGGGGGAGCCTGGCTGCGCGCTGCTTCGCTCGGTCTCCGCCTTGGTGCCCTCCCGCTTTTCGCCAAGTGCAGCCGGGTACAGCGACGCCTCCACCAGCCGCCGCCTTCCTCCACAGCGCGCCTGGCAGCCCCCACCCCCGGCGGCATACAGCGCTGCAACAGGCGGAGAGCAGCAACTGCCGATCCCGCGCTCCCCCGCCTCTGTGGGTCGAGCAGCGCCCAGGCGGGCTGGAGCGGGGAGACCCCTAGGAAGGAGGCAGCAGCAGCCCCCCGAGGCCGAAGGAAGGGGACGGGTGAGCTGTCCCTGGCACTGCCAGGGCGCCTGTCTCCACCGTGTCTGGGCGCCACTTGCGAGCGTCCGCGGGCAGCAGCTCCGCTCCTATAAGGGAGGCGTCGCGCGCTTTCCTCAGCGCACTGTGCTGAGCGCGGCGTTTGGCCGGCGCAGTCGCTCAGGCAGCTTTTGCGCGGCTCAGTGGACGGTCTGCGCGGTGCTGGATGCGGCGGGGGAAGGGAGGCGTGAAAACCTGTGTGTTTTGAGCGCACTGTGCCCGGGAGCGCGTCAGGCCTTGGCGTGGGGAGCAGGGCAGCCAGGGAAAGGGGCAGGTCCTTCCCTAATAACAGGCCTTTTTACACCTGACGTCCAGAAGTGGACGGCAGAAGAAGCCTGTGGCTGCAGAGCCCCGCAGATGAGGTGTTATTGGCTTCTCCTGGAATGTGGGCGGGATGGCCAGCCTATAATGGCTAGGTAGAGGGCCGGCTCAGACTGTACATGCAACAACTTTTAATGATTCGGGACCTGTGCACATGTCTGGCCAGTGTTACAATTTGATCTGTGATTCTTCTGTTCCCTCCTATTGTTTGTCATGCTCATCTGTTGCTTCTTGTCTTAAATTATGTCCTGATCCTGGAAACACTTAACCACAGGTGCCTAACTTTAGTTGCACCAGTAGTACCACTGAAGTCCATGGATTACTGCTCAGATGAGTAAGAATACCTAGCTCTTGAAGTTTGTTCATCAGTAGATCTCAAAATGTAAAGTTATGCATGTGCATAAGTGTTTTCAGTATAAATCTCTTTGATTGTAATTCTTTCAGGGCATATTATGTGTTTGTACAGCACCTAGCCCAAGGGAGCCTATGCCTGATTGTATATAATACAAATATACAACTAATAATGACAAGTATCAGGGGGTAGCCGTGTTAGTCTGTATCTACAAAAACAACAAGGAGTCTGGTGGCACCTTAAAGACTAAGGGCTTGTCTATACTTACCGCGCTGGTTCGGCGGCAGGCAATCGAACTTCTGGGTTCGATTTATCGCGTCTTGTCTGGACGCGATAAATGGAACTCAGAAGTGCTCCCCGTCGACTCCGGTAATCCTGCTCGCCGCGAGGAGTACGCGGAGTCGACGGGGGAGCCTGCCTGCCGGGTGTGGACCGCGGTAAGTTCGAAGTAAGGTACATCGACTTCAGCTACGTTATTCACGTAGCTGAAGTTGCGTACCTTACTTCGATTTGGGGGTTTAGTGTAGACCAAGCCGAACAGATTTATTTGGGCATAAGCTTTCGTGGGTAAAAACCTCACTTTTTCGGATGCATAGAGTGAAAGTTACAGATACAGGCATTATATACTGACACATGGAGAGCAGGGAGTTACTTTGCAAGTGGAGAACCAGTGTTGACAGGGCCAATTCAATCAGGGTGGATGTAGTCCACTCCCAACAATAGATGAGGTGTCAATTCCAGGAGAGGAAAAGCTGCTTCTGTAATGAGCCAGCCACTCCCAGTCCCTATTCAAGCCCAGATTAATGGTGTTAAATTTGCAAATGAAGTT